AATACCCCCTTCGCCACGGCCCTGCAGACAACTGAAGGTGAAAGAGCAATCCCCTTCAGTTGGTGTAATCATCACTGGAAACTTCAATAAAATGAGACTGAACTTACTATTTAGACGTTTCAACCTTAAAAATCCGTACGGGCTGCTACAATTAGTAGAAAAATTTTAGATCAAATCCAATCTCGTTCCCCGAGCCTGCGATCCTTGGGAAGGAAACGAAGGCTCTGGGATAATCCATCTCGGAAATGAATATGATTGGTTGCTGGTATACAATGGAATGTTGCAATTTTGCAAAAATTAATTTTTAACCGTATATTTTTATATACAACATGGCGGCCGTTTAGGAGTGTACGAATATTGTTTTGGTTTTTCAGAGCTGTGCTATATACTAATACTACAAAGGAAATGCAAAGAAACGCATAGTTAATGCGTATAATGTCACAGCAGTTAAATGGAGCGTGAAAACTTTACTCATATTTGTGTTGTACAGGTTTTCTGTAGTTTTAATCTATACATAGACTATGTATACACAGTACTGTCAGTACACTGTACTATTTGACTATAATATCAAATATGTGCTATATTTTGCAAATACTATTTGTGTCAGAAATGGTTAATAACTTTATTAATTTGTCTTTGTGTTATCTAATTGCGAAGAACTAGCTAATAACTAGTTTCAATAAATCCAATCTTGGGATTTACTGTTATATATTTTATTATTTAATGTATATACTGTACTGTAAACTTTTCAAGTGCAGGAGTATGTAATGCTCATTTTAACTTGTAGCATGTAACCCTTCCCTATATGGGTGCATATGAATCTTTTGCTGTTATAATTTATTTATAGAAGAGTTCAAAAACCTTTATTCTCTAAATAAACCACAATTTCACAGGCAGTGATATTTTAAACTTGTATTCCAGTCTGCATACACATAATGCACCTATCAATGTTAACCCCCAAAGAGGGGGGGTGGGGGGGGGGGGTCGGGTATATGTGGGGTATTTGATCATCAATTGCTCCCCACCCTGGGGATTTTGAATAGCATTTTGGCCCCGAGTTGGGGCAATTTGAACCGAATGACGTTTTATTAACATACTATTTATTGCAATTTATTGCAAAATGGTGGGGCATTTGACTAATATTTATTGCCCGATGGTGGGGCATTTGATTGAAAATTTGCTCTAAAAATCAAATGCCCCACCTATGCCTGAACCCCCCCCCCCCTTCTCTGGGGCTTAACATTGATAGGTGCATAATACATATAATGAATTATTGGATTTCACTATGGCATTTTGCACGTTCTGTCATTGGTTCTGACAGGGGGTCAACCTAAAAAATGTATTGATACTTATGTTGTACTGGAGTGAGCAAATGACATGAAATTGCATGTATTTGCAACGAAACACAAGGCCAACACATACAGTGAAAAATTAATTCCCTCTGATGACTGTGTCTCGATTTAGAGTTGACCACCCATCAAATTTATGATGTCATATGAAACACAATAATATACAGTATAATATTACTGACAGCTAATTGTAGCATAAAATATTTAATGACTTTAATTTATTGAGTAGCACAATATGCCAAAATTGCCAATCCCTTTGTTAATCTTGTCCACACACTAATTCAAAGAAGCCCTGCCCTCTGTACGAGGTTGTATTAATTGGATTCTGTCCAAGAAAACGTCATAAACCTTTTGATCCAGATGTTACAAAGTATGAATTCCAGATTGGGAGACCATATAAATATTTTTTATAAATTCATGTACTTTTTTTTAAGAAATGTTCTATTCATATTAAATGATAGTGATCATGCAGCCACCAATACCAGAATTCATTTTCATCAGCTTCCTCCTGGTTATGACCCCCTGTAGGGAACCACCTAGGGTGCAGGTATCATTTTGTGATGAATGATAAAAAAAATGCCCAATATAAATGCCGAGCCATAGAAATATTTTTATTACCATGGTCATGACAACTACCCTGTCAGTTTGATTGCAATATCAAAACTTGTTATTTACACTATAAAACAACACATACCTACTCTGAGAAGGGGAGGGGCAACAAAAACTCATATATTTCAGTTTTTTCCCTTCCTATCCAATTCAAATCATGCTGGCCACGAAAACAATTTCCCGATTGCGATACAATAAATTGCCAAATGCCTGACAATTTGGGCTAGCGACGCCCTGAATGCTACAATGATAGCAACCTCTATTTCTATTATATCTCCAACCTTGAATGTCCTATTTAGTACAGTAGTTAATTAATTAAAAACCTTGAATGTCCTATTTAGTACTGTAGTTAATTAATTAAAGGGGCTCTACAGTAATTTTTTAGTCAAGTAAGTATTGTTTACATTTTTTTGTTATTGTCGCTACTTGACATGTGCATCATGGCATGCATGCGTCTTCCGGTGTGCGGAAGTACTCATACTCATGGATACTGCATGTAAGATACAGCCAAACGAATCTCTGTGGAGTCCCCTAGTTACGATGGCTTTTTGACTAAAAAATGACTGTAGAGTCCCTTTAATGGCAGTAATGAGTAATCAACATGAAGTCAAGTACATTTCCGGCCATTGATGAGAAATATTGTCCAGAAGTACAGTGTAATAACAAAATAGGGTGCACTAAAAAGCATTGTGACTTAATGATCTAATGAGATAATTAACCAAAGATAGGTAGACATGCAGATGGATAGCCTGCACGCAGACTATATAATGACATATATATCATTATATAGTCTGCACGCAGGCTAGCAGATGGACTGGTTAACCCATTCAAATACCAAGTCCAATACTTTCCCCTTGACGAGAAAAAAATTCTGGCATTAAA